TTAAAGTTTTTTAAAGCCAAGAATTTTAATTTGCAAAATTCCCTGACTTTTCCCTGATTTCTCTGACCATTTTCAATTTCCCTGACATTTCCCTGATTTCCAGGTTTGTGGCAACCCCCCTGTCATTATCCATCTACCATAAAAGGAAAGGAGTGTGTGGTTAAATAAAGAAATTCTGTGTAAAATCAAATTTCATATTTCTGTACAAACATACCTCGATATTACATGATCCAACATTCCTTTAAAGTCTTGTGACAGCAGTTTGTCTGCTTCGTCCAAAACTAGAATTTTACAATGTTCCATATTTGCTACATTCTTATCCATCAGATCGAGGATCCTTCCTGGCGTTGCGATTATCACTTGTACTGAAAGTGTAAATTAGACGAATTATATGATACATTGGTAAATTAATTTAATGCAGTTTATCGATAAATTATACACTTTACTCTAGATACATTACCTTTTTGATAAATCCTCATAATGTCGTCTCGTAAGTTGGTTCCTCCAGTAGTAACCATAACTTTTATATCCATGTGCTTTGCGAGCTCAATACAAATCTGTGATGTTTGTAGCGCTAATTCTCTTGTAGGCACAATTACCAGTGCTTGGATTACGTCTTTCCTTGGGTCAACCTAAAGCAACAATTAAGCATACAACATTCAAAACAAATTTCTTTTCAAGTAAATCTTATCATATTTCTCTTTTGTCTATTTATTATACCTGTTCCAGCACTGGAATTGAGTATGCTCCAGTTTTACCAGTTCCATTTTTCGCACGTGCCAAGATGTCCTTACCAGAAAGTGCAATGGGAATACTAGCTTCTTGGATCGGTGATGGCTTCTCCCATCCCTTTTCAAAAATTCCCATCAATAATTCACGTTTTAGGCAAAATTCTTCAAACTCGTTACCACGTGTGTCGGTAACATCCTGCAACGTACATTTCAAAGTAAATTTCAATTTAAAAAATTTGAATGCTTTCAAGAATCTCTCTATGGAGATAATAGTAAAATTAATTTCAAAGATTCATTTTTTTTCTAAAAAAAAATTTAAAAATAAATTTAAACTAATCCAAATTTAAATATAAAAATTTATTAATTTTTCCTTATTTGATAATTATCAACTTTTTTGTATCAACTCATACTTGTTTCAATTGTTTTATTCTTTGGAATAAATTAAGAATAATTCAAATTTAAAAATATAAAAATTTATTAATCCTTACTTAGTAATTTATCAACTTTATATCAACTTTTTTTGTATCAACTCACACTTGTTTTAATTCTTTTATCCTTTGGTGGTATATTTAATTTCGCTTTCCAACCTACATCATCCATTTTATCTATCTCTGATTTGTTAGACAAACCAGAGTTTAACATATGATTAGAGTTCATATGCGTTTCGGTCATCATTTTGGATATATTGTAGTATGTCTACTATCTTTTCCTGACAAAAAAAAGGAGAAAGAATCATTATCTATACACATACACACACACGCACACATACACACACATGCACATATATATATATATATATGTGTATACGTATATACTACCTAAAATTATCGCAATAATTTCTTTGTGTAATTCTTGTGAAATTTAAAGTCACACATGAATTTCATTTATCATGCTTTTCTGTCAATTCTTGTTTTTTCGTTAATTGCACGCCTTATCAAATATTAACAACTATACCATAATCATAACAGCTCTCATCTTATAAACATATTCAAAAGTATGTAGGTTTTGTAATAACGTCTGAATAGAAGGGGAACAAGACCAAACAAAATTGACCTACAGTGACTGTATGCCTTTAGGTACTGTGTTCGTTATGAATACATTCGAATATGCCAAGTGTTTTTGTGTGTTTGGATATAGAAGGCACAAGTACAAATACTTTGTAGATGAAACAGTTAACTATGCTACAAAAAATTCAATTTCTCTTTCATTTGTAACTTCCAATTAGCACGAAATTTAAACAATTAAATAAAAATTATACAGCTGTTTATATAATAATCTATTTTAATCACCTTAGAAAGAAAGAATTACGTAAGCTAATTTAAAGCGTACAAGAAGATGATAGATCTAAATAAACTCTTTCAGTTTTAATCGTACAATAAATAATACACGTTAAAAAGGAGAGGCTTCCAGTGCTTACGAGATTCATATGCTCGAGACGTATTGTGTGCGGAATGTATTCAAAGTCTTATTCATACGCGACGGAGAAACAAAGGAACGATCTTGATATTAAAGTTTATCTCGTTATATCTCCGAGTGACGAAACTTAATCGCTTTGAAGGCACGGAAATTCAAAGCGAAACGGCGAGAGAAGGCATCGCTCGTTGTAATCGCGAGTTGCTCCTGATTATTAACGGTAACAGATACGCCGCTCGGCGAATTCGGGGGAATTTCAAACGCGCAACCGTTCGAACCGTCGATAAGGGCAGACTCGTGAATGCGATTTGCGCGTTAAATATACCGTGGCCGGCTCGCTCCGTTCCCGCGTGACTCCAACGGACGCTGATCGCTAAGGGGGATTCCTTTTCTTTCTTTTGTTTTTTTTTTTTTTTTAATAGGTCAGATCTCGACTGGAACGATTCCGTTTAGCGCTGACACGTTTCTCGGGAGGCAACGGGAAAATTCCTCGGGGTGAAAATACCGTTAAGGCCCGGCGCCGGAATTAATTTTTCACGCGAGACGCCGGGTCGACGGGAACGAGGGAATGCGGGGAGTCGCGAGGTGGACGCGCACTGTCGTCCGCGTGTTCCTTACCTTGAAAACGAATGGACGTCGATTCCGTGTGTATGTGTGCACGCCTCGAGCACTCGATCGGTGGGAAACAACACGCCAAAATGGCCGTTCCCCAATGTCAATGATTTCGCCAACTTCTCGCAGCGCCAGTGACCGCGTCGGAGCACCGTTTTCCTGTACGGTGCAATGCCGCGCTACCGCTTCGCTCTCCTCACACACACTCTGTCTCTCTCTCGCCCTCTCTCACTCACTCTCACACTCTCTCTCTCTCTCTCTCTCTCGCTCTCCCTCTCTCGCTCTACCTCTACCGCTTCTTAACTCTTTACGCTTCGGAAAAAAAGCGTTCTCGTGTATAACACGCGGTCCCGACTATCAGTCTTTCGGTCTGTTTCTGCGACTTGTGATTTACGTTCCGCTTGCAGTATCTCGAAATCCCGACTGATGCACTGCGTCGAATGCGAGCGACGATTATTGCTTGTTCGGTGTACACGATCCGTACCATGAAAGAATGACGGGAACAAGACGGCGAAGCGACTACGGAGTCCCGTCCATCAGGCGTTGTTTTAAGGCGGTTCTCATGAGAAATTTGTGGCCGATTATCCCGGATCTACAATAGGGTTTTAAGCCTTAAGCTATAAGAAATGGGCGAATCACAGTCGATTATTCTCCTCGGATTCGACTGTAATTGGTCGATTTCTTACGGCTTAAAGCCCGTATCAAACTACCGACTAATAATGGACCAATCACAATAAGACTGATTCAATGTGATTGGTCCATTATTAGTCGGTAGTTTGATACGGGCTTTAAGCCGTAAGAAATCGACCAATTACAGTCGAATCCGAGGAGAATAATCGACTGTGATTCGCCCATTTCTTATAGCTTAAGGCTTAAAACCCTATTGTAGATCCGGGGTAATCGGCCGCAAGTTTCCGAACTAAGGTGTAGCCACAATAGAAGGAATAAGGAATTAGAAATAAGGAATGAAGATTTTAACCTATCAGATTTCAGTTGAACAGGATAGCAATCAAAAGCAACCGCGGTAATCGTTATTCCTTCTATTGTGGCCGCATCATTATGGGTGCGTTCGGGAAGCGCACTGTCAGCGCTATTGCGTCGTTCTATCTTCTTTGTTTACGTAGCCCACGACGTCTGAACTCCGACCGCTGTTCAAAAAATGCTTTTTAAATTCGAACATTGCTGGCGGAGGGTTAAGATTTAATTCAATAAAACAAATCTCGAGATTGCATTTTTTATATAATCAAGATCTTATATTTAAAAAGAGATATATGCTATATATGATTATTTCATCAGCCGAATCTGGTATAACTATATCTAAAAAATTAGATTCAAAATAATATAATTAATATTTATATTTATCACAAATTAATAATTAAATCTTATATTTAAATGTATATAAAATTTAAATAAGATTTAAAATAATTAGACAATTTAAATGTAAGATCATTTTAAATCTAATTTCAGATAATCTGATGAAGATTCTTGATATTTTAAATATAAAATTGAATATTAATATCTCTTCCCAAAAACGATTCAAGTCGCATCAAATGTCGCAGAAATTAAAGTATAACTTCATGCAATTATTATAATACCAATACAAATTTTTCGTATATCACCAAATCAAACTTGAGCCTGAATTATCATGTTAATAAAATAATTATCGCACAAAATTACCTGTTGAAGGCACAAAAAAAATCGAAATTTTGTTGAGGAACTACGCTAAAGCATAGCGTAAAGTTTAATTATATAACGCATATTGCTCGCGTCAAAAATAGCGTATACATTGTAGCGTAAAACGTTGGTTTTGATACGCAACATATATCGTTGAAATTTTGACTATGGTCTACTTGATGCTACAAATGTTTCGAAGCATCCTTCTTTTTATTAGTCTCAATTACAAATATTTTGAAATATTCTTTAATTAGTTAATTCGTAAAATTCTTTCTTCTAGTAATTGGTTAATCAAATACTTCGGACATTTGTAACATTAATGCCTATTTTTATCAATGTAAATTGAATTTAATCTTAATTCAACTAATTCTTCATCTTCTTCTCCTCTAAGAATTAGAAAAAGATAAAGAGTAAGTTGAACAAAGATAGTTAAGGCGATTTTTGGCGTGCTTCTGGTATAGCAATCAAAAGCAACCGCGGTTGGGACTATCTTTGTCTTCTGATCCCTGAAAACGAAGATAGCTTCAAATCGCCTTTAATTATTGATGAAAACGAGCATAAATAGACCGCAGCCTTTAACAACCGTCGATATTCTTGGTCGCGTCCTTTCCAACATACATTCATGGACAAACGAGCTCCTTCTTCTGGGATATACGATACTTGCGACAGGCTTCAGGACAGTGGCGTTCCAGGTAGCGCCTTTGTGAGAAAGCCTTAAAGCAGACACCACAGCGCCACTGCCACTGATGGTGATTACGTGTCCTCTGATGTGCGCGAAGATTCGAGCTGCAATAAGGAGATTAATTGATCACATTACGACACTTCTTCATAATAATTAACATTCCAAACAGTGGCGTTTGAACAGAATGAGATGTGATAGAATAAAATGTGCATTAGGATTATCATTTTCTCAGCCTGGAGAGGTTTTCACAGGTCTTTGATTTATTTCAGCTCTTTAACGTTTAACCAAAATTTTTGCTTCTTACTAAAAGGAGAGCAATTCTTAATTTATCTAGATTTCTCGTCAATAGAATAAAACTCGGAAACGCGTTCCCATGTCAAAGTCCTAAGTTTAGGCAAGGAATCTTCCCATATAGCACAGAATTTACAGCAATGTTGCAGCAGTGTTGCTGCAACTTTGTGCAGCAAGGGTTGTTATACGTACCGATCGGCGAAGGATTTGTGGCAAACTGGACATTCAAAGGGCCGCTCGCCCGTGTGTAGACGCAAGTGGCCCTTCAGCACCCACGGCCGATCAAAGCTCTTGTGACAATACGGACAGTAATGCATTGTTTTATTTCTTTTCCAGCCTTCCCGAGTGGATGTCGTTTTGCCCTCAGCTACGTTCGTCGACTCGTGCTTCTGTTTCGGCAGTAAATACAAAGTCTGCGAGAGGGTCTGTGTTTCACAGCCGTTGATCATGACGTTTGGATTTATCGTGCCAGTGATTTTTTCTGCAACTGTCGTCTGCGTCGCCGGACCTGCCGATCCCTCCGCCTTGGAGGAAAATCGTGATGCATCATCGAGTAATATCGTTGATACTTTCCTACTATTATCCATTATCCTCCCGTCGATCGACGCATCATAATGTACATTCTCGAAATTTTGTCCAGCTGAATTCAACTCTGCGTCAAATGTCGCACCGTTGGTTTTGTGGAAGCTGTAACGGGTTACAATGGAGAGCCCGGAACAGGTCCAGATATTGCTCGTCTTGGACGTCGTGTCTTTCGTATTCTTTCGCTTGAGATTCGTGGACGGTGGTAGCCACGGGAATTCGGACTCTGCAAAAATCGATTTTCCTTCATCTGAAGCAAGCACGATATTTGCTACCAGAATAATTGAGATTTAAAGCGTTTCTCTAGAAAAGATTTATTGTTACTTCGAACAGTAGAAAGTAATGCTGCAATAAGCGAACGAATTGGAATAAGCTCTGACAGAAATTCGTTCTACATAAAAAATTTCACTTATTACTGACAGCCGTCAGTAATTAATCTCGAAATTTTTTGAAGTACGTCCTTGCGTTTAACGAAAAAAATTATTTCTCTTTCCTATCAATCAGCAAGATAAACAAAGATACAATTGATTAAATAAAATAATACGTAGATATTTTTTTGTATCCTCGTTTTATTACATCGCTACTACATTTATATACTCGTGAAAAAAAATTTACGATATTTATTTCTCGACAATCTTGGCGAAAAAAAATTTTTATGATAATGTACAGAAAATATGAGACAAGATCTTAGAAATTAATTTTTTGTATATTTATAGTGGGACGTAGTGGCGTTGTTTGGAAGATTTCTTGATTTTTCAAACAAACGACGCCACTCTACATCCGACTACAAATATCTATAAACGAGAATTCCTAAGATCTTGTCTCAATCTATACAGTTTTTTGTAAAAATTTTTCCGCCAGTAAAGTAATTTCTACCTGATTCTATCAGAATTCGAGTTGATCACGTGAAGATAAGACACACGAGGCATGATATCATCTACGGACTGTTTATTATTGTGATGACAGTCAAGGTTGAAGTAACGATCCCGAGCAATTCGTAATTTCAACAATGCTCTTAGAGAAACATATGGCGAGCAATTAAAACATTGCGCCTAAATGATCTTACAACGATGCAAGAAAATATACCTTCGTAAAAATAGAAATGCTTTCGTAAAAAGATATACCTTCGTTCGAATTATCTGTCTTGTGATAGCGTGCCATTGACTTTATCAAGCAACGTGGCATATTCCTTGAGATAAATTTCTGGAACTTTCTACGCTACCGTAAAGAGTACACTTCGCAAGGAGTACGGAGAACTTCTTGAGCTTCCACTGCAACAGCAAAACACAGCAAAATGGCACTGCCCGACTGGCGACTGCCGTGCATTCGGCTTTTGTTTTTTTCAGTAACGTATTATCGAAACCACCCGACAAAAAAATGATTACTATAGGATGATTTACGAATTATCAATTTCCTTTTTTTATATTCGATAGTTCTTTACATCTGTACGATTTCTCAGACAACACGTGTGTCTAAAAGATGTCGTATGATGTCTTTTAAATATGCGTACGTGTTATCTGTTAAGATTAATAAATTAGTGTTATTCCATCTCATTTAAAATAATTATTATAAAATGATGAAACCAACATTAATTATCTCTATACAACAATAATACATTATTTCTTCATGTTCGTTGATTCGACAAATAGAAATTTTTCATTCTATATCTATAGAATTTTATATATTTCGAAATTTTTTTTTTGTTCTAATCTTTACTATTAGATATATATTTCTGCAAAATTTTCATACATCTGACTGAAAGTTTCGAGCAGAAAAGGGCTGATATAGAATTAATATTAGGGGAGATTGTGTGTGTGTGATTGAGTTGCGTGCTAAATGCGTACCACGGTGTCTTCGTCTAAATCGTACCTCATTAATACTTTATATTATTACTTAATAAGGAATACTTAATGACAAAAATATAAAACAAATGAGATTAGTTATAAACAAAAAATTTAACAGGTTATATCTTTTGTTTTGTGCGTGCTAACAATATTCTACAAAATTTGCAGATACAACTGACGTTAATTTTTTATTAATATATAATATGTATAATGTATTTACGCAATTTTATTCTAAATTTTTATATTTTTGTAAAAGATGGTTTATTGTAATATATTTTATATTCAATGTATATGCATATACATATATATTAGTTGCAATTAGCAATAATAAAGATTAAATCGAAATTTTAATAAAATTTAACAAATTTCATAAATTGTATCATCACAAGATAAGACTGATAATTGATAATAGTTAAAGTATTAATAATTGATATGAATATACAAATATTAATTGCAAAAATAAATTCAAGCCAGTTTTATTTCAACCTCTTCTTCACTATTGATTTTTACTAAATAATTAATTCTTTTTTTCTAAATTATTAAAATTAGATATTTGTTAATTATTAGATATTAGTTAATGATTTCTTTTGTTAATTTTATCCTTGATGGAAATTTTTTACTAAAATTGTATTGAATAATTACGAAATATTACTGAATTGCATATTGAAATCTGTATCAATTACTTCACTTTCAGCATTATTTCATTAAGATTTTATCAACAATTTAAAATAAAATATTAAGATTATAAAGAATTCAGTAAATTTCAAAAAGAAAATCAATGAACGCAATTTATTTAATAAGTTATTCATATCGTGGAGACTACTTGTTATAATCTAAAGATTATTTACATAGTCGGGAAGCGTTATTTTTTCCGTTTCCTTTCCGTTACTTTTTATAATAAACATGACGTTATGCCAAAGTTGGAAAAGTCGACTTTTCTACAATCTTAGCGTTTAGTTATAAAAAATTGGAACATCATGTTTATTATAAAAAGTAACGGAAAATTAAGTAACTTTCTAACTCTGATTATTTATAAAATCCGTCTTGTGGATTATCAAATGAATACCTCATTATGTCCTACATTTATATATCCACTGGACATTTAAATACGTAATCCTTGGAAAGTAGTAATCGAATCTATTATTTGGCGAGATTGAAATAGTTTATAAAATATTATTACATTCATTAGTTTAGTTTATATAGAAATAAAATCATGTCTCCTATCAAATATGTGTATACATATATGAAAATCATGTGCAAGTATAAATGATGACATATTTAGTCTTCGGTTTTATAGACCTGATTATAGAGGGCTTGACTAAATTTTACATGTGAGAAACGAGACCACATAGAGGCAGTCCTAGAAAGAAATTCTTATGAGAATTCTTATTAAGAATTCAACGCTTTTTATTACAGTGCGAACTGATTTCCTTATTTTTCAGCAAACTTCAGTATTTTTTTCAATTATTAATTCCAATATTTTAATTCTTATTGCTTCTTTCTATTCGGTAATTTTTATTAACAAAACTGTGAAAAGAATGTTCATTTCTTTTCAATGTCATTTCTTTCCAAATATTTTTATTAATTTTCCTTATAATTTATAGTATTTACAAATTTACACTAATAAATCTGTAAAAATATATGTTTTGTATTACTTTTCATTTTTTTCACGCATTTTAAAAAATTATCTTTAGGGGGGATTCAGCATAAATCAATTTCTTCTGTCTTCAATTTCGTCTTCAATTTCTTTGAAGAAATCTGTAAAAATATTAAATATATTAGCCTTATTTTTTGTTGTTTTTCATTAATCTTCATTTAGAATTTATAATTTTGCAGTATTAAAAAAAATTATTTATACTGAAATATATTCAACAATATTTCACAGTCATTCTCATTTCTCATTTCCACGACTTCACGGTTGATTTCAACGATTTCAAAGATTTATTTTTATTAGGGATATTTTTAATAAATACGATACTTTCAAAGGAAGTATGATTTAGAAGATGCTCAGATATATGATTCAGACAACCAATTGCTTAAATCATATCTTACAAAGCATTTTATAAAAAGTCTTATAACAAATTAATTTGTTATTGATTTATTACTAAAAAGTTAAACATATAATAATAGATGCCTTCAAACATCAAGCTACAATTTCCAATGTTTATTTACGTAGAAATCTGTTACAATATAATGTGTGAATATAATAGAAAATAGCAAATGTAATAAAAAATATCTTAAGTGATATGCATTCGATAATTCTCTCTTATTCCTATATTTCATTACGGTATATAGTTGTATATTTATGTGTGACTTATAAAATATAATTTTTGGATGCGATTTACTTTAACGTTACAAATGTTCGAAGCATTTGATTGACCAATCAGAAGAAACAGTTTTACTAATTGTCCAATCCAAGAATATTGTAGCATCAAGTGGTCGTATTGTCAGACTCTCGTGTTGTCAGCATCGACCTTTAAGTGTCTTAATAATTGCTGTGTGATGGAAACAAGGAAGTATGAACGAATTGGTATCTAGATTTAACGTCTCAGAATCATTTCAAACGGCGTCGCGACCGGTTCAAGATACGTGTGTGTGTTTTCTCCTTTTAAGATATAAAAATATATCGGAGCCTTTATATATAACTATAAGAATCTCCATTTAGTGTAGTGTGAGTACCCTTTTTTATTTTTTTATAAACTTTATGTACATCCGATTTTTCCAACATTATTTTAATGAAGTTAAATATATTTATAGTTAAATGTAATTATATTTAATCAAATTATTTACATTTTATATAATATATAAAATATATTCGCGTTTCGACAAAATATTATATTTTAATATTTAAAAAACGTAATATAACATATTTATTAAATGTGTAATATATTACATCTAAATATTTACATATTTAATTCTTAATACTAATTTAAAGTTTTAATACATTTATAAAAATTTAATATTTTAAAATATAGTATTTATTAAAGTTTCATTCATTTTATATAATATATGTTTTATATAATATATGTCATTTTATATAATATATGTATTTATATAGTATATAAATCCATTTTTTGCTGAGTCAGTTTATTAATTTTAATTTTAATTTCGAGAGATTTAGCAATGCATTTGAATACTAATATATGTAAAGAAAATGCATTTAATCTGTCTAAAAATGAGATTTTTGCTTTTTGCATTATGTTATATTTATTTGTATGTGATGTGAATACATATAATATATTTTATATTACAAAATACGATGTTGCCGTTAATTTCTGATTAAATTCTTTTTAAGTTTCTAATTAAAGAACTTTTTGTAATACTTTTTATGAAATTTATTAATTTAATAAAGAAAAATTTAACATAGGATTACTGAAAACAGAATTTAGAATATGCTCAAATTTTCTCCACAAGTTTTATTTAACTTCCTCATTCAAATTACGATTACGTTTAATATTACATTACGAATATTAAATTCATTTTTAAGATTCGTCCATTTACTTGTATCATGCTAGCACGAGAAAAGTAATTTTTTCGACTAAAAAAAAGTAAAGCGACTAAAAGTATAGGGCTTATTAATGACACATACATTCAACTTTATGAAAAAATAATTGGAAGAGCAATAATTAATAAATTCTAATTTGTCTTATTACAATTAAGTTTGTATTTATTTTTGTTTACAGGTTATGCGTCGTTTTGTAGTACTATTGTTTATATATAGCTTTTTATATCCTTGTTCGTTTAATGGTAAGATATTTTGACAAGACAAAAATTTTATTTTTATTGTTAACTTTTTCTTAATTGGATTTATTCTTAATTAACTTTTTTATACATATCTACCTTTTCGAAGTTGTGCATCATACTGACACGTCAAAATATAAATCAATCTAGAATTATATAACTTCTTTACTTATATTCCGAAATACTGAAAAATGAAAATTGTGTTATAAGGATTGGACTCCAATTTTAAAACACAAAAATGTCAAAATCTACACGGTGAGAATTCATTCATGTGCAACAATGGGCAGTGTATATTACTCTCCTATAGATGCGATGGAATGGAGGACTGTACTGATGGCTCGGATGAAAAAGACTGCGACGATTATAACGTGAGTATTATACAGTTCATGTTATTTGTTGAAAGTAAGATTTTTAAAATTTTACTGATTTTAAGATATAGGTTTTTGAAATAGATTATATAGCTTCTTCTTACAATTAAATCACACATTGGATTTTTTCATTTTAAAATTTTCTATGCTTCCAAGAATCTGGAATTGCAGATCGTATATTTAATAATAATAATAATAATAATAATAACAACTTTATTGCATTGCATGCATTTACAAATGTTATTCGGTATACTTTTCTTCCGCTAAAATAATAGTAGTTCCTTTTTTAAATTTCATTTTAATTAATTATCTAATTAATTTTATCGATGAATAATTCTTTAA